TTCCGGTATACTTTTGCATGTGTATTTGATTGTGAAAAGCGAGGGACCTTTGATGGGTCACTAATAATGGACTCCATCTCCCACTCTGTATCTCCTACTCAAAGTCCCCAATGGTCCATTTAACTGGCCAGATGCTGCCCATTTACCAAGCTGAAATGGCACAGCGTCCTTCCAGCCTGTAGCCCCCATCCACTGTGAGAGCACTGCAGGCTCCATTCTGTAATTGAGTCAGATGATTTAGATCTGTCTGTGTTTACTGATGCAATGGGTATGTTTTTCTTGGCCAGGCCCAGTACATTATTTGTGTTCTTGACAGGGTGAGCTGCCACTGAATTTTTTCCTGCTGTATGTTAACACTCAGGATCTAATTGCACAAGGCTTATTTGCATCTTCCTTATGCACTGCATGGGAGCTTCCCTGAGAATATCTTGTCAAGATTGACTACTATTATTTTTTAAACATTTAAAAATCACTATCATTTAATTTCAGAGAATTTGTTTTGTTTTTATGGGAATTAATTGAGAGATACTTTTGTACTAATATTTTGCTTTTGTATATTTAAAGTATTAAAATAAGTTCACTGTCTAAAACTGTATTATATGTCTAGCATAGTAAAATTTGCAAACTGAGAAAGGTCATATATTGCTTTTTAAGAAAGACTCTTCAGGGCCTTTAATAAAGTCCTAAATTGGAAGAGTCTTGCCAAAATAAAAAAAAAGGTGAACCCTTTTATAGGAATAGATTATCCTTTGTTTTAAATAAGATTGGGTTAAAAATGAGTAAAATATTGAGCTCATTTTCTGAAAGGTAATAAAGGAGGAATAGATATTAGGAAGTATTTAGGAGGATTTTTCTTTTTCAATCACTGCTTTTCAAATCAAACCACATGATCCAGGGTTGCATTTACCAGAACACTCCGCACCTGCCTGAGGGAACATCGGTTATGAGGCAATGCAGAGATTTCTAAGGCCCATTTTTTCACTTAAAGCTCATTTGTTCTCAAAGAATCCTGTGATACCAGGATAGAGCATTAAATAGAGAGTCATTCCCTTTAAGTATATAGCTATATATTATTTTCGTGTTGCTACATCCAGCATGGCATGGTGAGGACACATATCTGAAGAGCCCTTTCCTGCATACACAGTCCTTTCACTTGTGCTCATCTGACACTGAGAGAAATGCCTTATTATATGGCCGTTTTCAGATGTGAAATTGAGATTCAAGAAAGGGGTGATTTTCCCAAGCCCTTCAACTACTAATGGCAAGACTCAGAGTCAAATCTTGTTCTCTTTGCTCCCGAGTTAAATAATTTAAAAATAAAAATTAAGGGGAAATCCACAGGGAAATTTATTATCTTCTTATATAACTTGTTAACAAAACATATAATCATAGAATTTTAAAGCTAGAGATCAACCAAGGGTCCTAATTTTTCAGACCTCAGTTTTGATAGTCTCTCTTTAGAGAGACCTTCCTTAATTACCCTATCTTAGCAGCTTATTGATTTTACAACTTACTATCAACAATTTATGATTTTTGGTTTTGGTTCTAGAACTTGGTTTTTACTTATCTCTTTCATTAGACTATAAAGTTACTGGACACATGAATTGTATCTACTGTGTTCACTATTGTAGCCCCAGCATTTAAAATAGCTCTAGGCACATAGTAGGCATTTGCATAAATATTTTTTGATCAATTGCATGAGGTTCAGAAACTTAACGTAATTTGTCCAGAACCAAATATTGGTTAATGGCAAATCCGTTAGAATCCAAGAATCCTGTTTCCTGTTACGCTATAATGGACTTCACATAGGTATTTGCTATACCTAATTCCAGTTTTTCTAATTGTTAGGCTGGATGAGAAACCCTCATCTGGTTTACAATGACTCCTCAAAGTACCCTCAAAGGTGAAAGCTTGCTCCTGAGTCTTTTACATTCAAAGTCAAATAACAAAGAACGAAATTGTCAGTTCCTGTGAGCAGAAGTGTGAAGTATAGTTTTGTTTGTTTATTTCTTTTGTTTTTGGTTCAGTTTGGCTCTATCTGGCTTATTGTTCTCTCGAAAAGTCTGCATCCCATGGACAAGAATCTAAGCCCTTCAGAAATGGGCAATGGTTATTATTCTTCTGGGAGAATATTCGTGAGCACACATTGCATGTGTAACTCAGCCACTCTCCATTTCTGTTGTGTCTGGAGAATAGCAGCCTAATTATTCTGCCATCATTTGGTTATGTTTTTCATCCCTAGCATGCTGCGGACACTCCTCTCGCCTCAGCCACATATTTAATTAATTCCTGTGTGTTACCAGATTGATCTCAACTGTGAAAATCTGAGCAAAATGCATACATACTTGGTGCAGTTTTCCTTATGGCAGGCAATCTGTGGTCATTCATGGCTTTTAGTTAATATACAAAGAATCCTAAAGTCTCTTAATTTGAGAAAATTGGCTAAATCAAGGGGGCATGAATGGATAGAATTACCAACAGCTGGACCTCTCCAAATAGGCTTTTTTGTGGTATGACTCTTAAGGCCATTTTGAGTTATGGTTTTCATTTGGCATGCTTCATCTCTCTTTCTGGCAATTCTGGTTTACACTCCTTAGACTGGTGAATAATCTAAATGTCAACCAGCGAGTCTGAACCTCTGTGAGTAACTTGTGTGTCACATAATCTATATGACATAGGGCTGCATCACACCTGCAGCAGCCTACTGTGGGAATTTCATAGTTAATTATGTGAGCTGCTGTCAACAATTAGAAGAAAGGAGGTTAGGTGCCAAAGAACCAACCAAAACCTCCACTCAAGAGCAAATCCAAAGTGAGGAAGGTACCATGAGTTCAGATTCTTTTAAAATTCAGAGATAAAACCTAGCTTCGAGCACAAACCCTGTGGACTAAAGAGCAGTAACTTGGTCTCAGACACCTTGCCAACCATTTTGCACATATTATTCTTAATCCTCCCTATTTTAAAGATGGAAAAACATAGTCTCTAAGGGACTCAGTGACTTGCCCAGCTACTCAGCTAAGTTACAGTATGGGTTTTTATTTCCGGTTGAATGTTCAGATGCTCCTATGGCATGTTATGATGATGTTGGATTTGCTGTTAGAGTGTCCTTTGTGCTTTTAGAGCCCACTGCTAAGGCAAGCTTGCAACCAGCATCCTTTCTTCTTCATGTGTGAGCTGTGCAGCCAACTCTGAAACTGCTCTATAAGTCTTCTATGAACCCAACCAACCTAAACATCTTGAGGTACATTGTTGTTCAAAGCATCTGCCCATCTCTTCAAGATTATGGTAGCTAATAACAGAAAACACAATATATAAAACAAGTATAATTGCTATCTTTTGTCAATAGTCTAAAACTATATTAGTCTACTGTTTTCATCCTTTATAGTTTAAAAATATGTTCAAACCTCCACCCTAACGCCAATGGTTCTCAATTTGCGTGTTCATACTCCAGCATGGAGATGATCAAAACACCAAAACAGATTACACATATGCTTTCAGGGAGGAAAAGAATAGGTCACGTAGCCCAGGATTTTCTTTTATTTATTTTAATAGGCCCCACAATTGATCTTGAAAATTGCCAGGGTAGTAGGCTGTCCCAGCCCTGAAAAGCTGCTGATCCAGAAGCAGTGATTCCCAAGGCAGGTTTTGTAGCGTCCACCGACTTTTATCTCAAAGTCTCAAGAGGTATGTGAGAGTCACTAGCTGAAATCAATGCAATTGATATTAAACACAATATATGCCACATGGTACTTTTAAGGGGGTGGAGTAGTAATGTCAAAAACAAGCTATGGTTAGTGGCAATAGCCACTTTAAAAAAAAAAACCACACAAATTATGGTAGATTTTTAGGGCTGCAAAAATATTGGAAAATTTAAAAATTTTTAATCTATTACCCAAGAGGTGTTACAGACTAAAAATGGAAATCAGTTCTTTTTTTTTTTTTTTTGAGACAGAGTCTCACTTTGTTGCCCAGGCTAGAGTGAGTGCCGTGGCGTCAGCCTAGCTCACAGCAACCTCAAACTCCTGGGCTCAAGTGATCCTCCTGCCTCAGCCTCCTGAGTAGCTGGGACTACAGGCATGCGCTACCATGCCCGGCTAAATTTTTGTATATATATTTTTAGTTGGTCAATTAATTTCTATTTTTCTTAGTAGAGACAGGGTCTCACTCAGGCTGGTTTCGAACTCCTGACCTCGAGCAATCCGCCCGCCTCAGCCTCCCAGAGTGCTAGGATTACAGGTGTGAGCCACCGCGCCCAGCCGGAAATCAGTTCTTTAAGAGAATCATGACCAGTACTTATAGGTTGTGAAAATAAAGTAGAACATTTGAGTGGTGGTTTCCCTGTTCTGTATAATTGCTTTCAAGTCAGACATCATCTACTATGAAATCACATTCATATCCTGTGGCCTTAGAATTGTCTCTAGAAGCTCGAGGTTAAATCTTAGCCATTATGCCTGTGCAGAAGAAGTTGTAGAAGGCTTAAATAGAAAAAAAGTGACTGAATAATATTCCTTGATTCTTTGACTTTTCTCAGGTACTTCAGTGATTTTTGTCATCTGTTGTAAAAGGCTTTTGCTATATTTAATTATGAAGCCAGCACCCCAAATCTTCCAAAATTCCTTTTTTTTTTTTTTTTTGGTCTCTATTAACGGACAGATTAAAAGGGAGGGGCCAAGTACACAAAATGAAATTGTGAGGCTCCAGGATCTGTTTCACGTCTTCTAGTGTTTCTCACCAGAAGGAAAGGCCTCTGTCAAAAATAACAAATTTGAAAATTTTAAATTATCTACAAATGCATAGTATCCCTGACACATTATGATGAGTATACGGCTCTGAAATCCTATTTCTTTAAGGGATATTTGGACATGCAAATATCTGGACCACACTTATAGTAAAAAAACAAATTGTTGTTTATCTGAAATTCGAAGTTAACTAAGTGCCCTGAATTTTTATTTGCTAAACCTAGAAGCCCTATATGTGTTAAAACATATATATAGTTCATAAATATTATATATATGTAGTTTAAAAATGCATAATGAATATATCAGTCTTCAGGTATAAATAGTTACAGTGTATTTTGTCTATTTAATTGTGTTACTACAGCAACTTTCAGAGTTAAGAGAATGTTGGGAGTTGAGAAATTTCTAAAAACACTCTTAGGGAAATTATTTTGGGTCTAGGAAAGGTCAATTTTTTAGTGCTCCAATAATGTGTGTCATAGCTCCTCTTGAAAAGTTTTCAGAAATTCTAAGAAAAATGTACAATAGCAAAGGAGATAGGTAGGAAGAAATGCCTAATGATTATGAGACCCAGTCTCAAGTTGTATAGCAGTTATACTTGAATTCTTTGGATCTTTTGATCTTTTTCAACTCGCTATAGTAAGGCACTCATAGTTTGTCTCTACTTTGCCTTTTAATATGTCACTTGAGCAGATACTTGTCCTCTAACCAGCAAGTAGAATTGATTCTCTTTTTGCTTCATTATAATTTTTGATGCAGAATTATGGTAGATATAGTCATGCTTGTTTTTCATGAGATACTTATTTAGCGTGGATTACTACATCAGTGGGAAGGTAAGAAGTTAATCGCTTAATTCTAATATGTTTAGAAGAGTTTCTTTCTGATTTGGCACATGGACAGTGACAATGACCTCTCTGTGTTCCCTGGTTTTCCAGGGGTTTGCTCTAGGTATTAGTACAGCAGAATTTGTTTGCTAAGGTGGCCCATCATGGAACTTTAGTCTCTGGTTAAGTAGATGTTAATGGACAATGGCATGTCCATTACTCCTTCTTTTACCCTATTACTAACCCATTTGATTCAACTTCCCTTGCCTATCAAGTAAGACCATTAAAGAAGCTGGACATCAAGTTTCAAATGAATGACACTTTATATAGGGAAAGATAGAAAGAAGGGAAGAGATGAGATGTACATTATCAAATACTCTGAAACGTTAAGAATTGTGGAAACTGTGAGTTTCATAGGGGGTTTGAGACAAAGTACACTATATCCCCATTCTAGTTTTTCTTTTTTATTTTAAAGTCAGATTTGCTTCACTTCTTTGGGTCTTTGTTTCTTCCCATACAAAATAGAGGTATAGAAGAGGCAATTTCTTAAAAGTCAAGAGCGATCTTAGAAATTAGCCATTTTACAACTAAAGAAACTGAACCAAAAGAAGTTAATTTGTTTTACCCAAGGTTACACACTTGGTTAGTACCAGAGCTACGACAGAGACAGTCTCTGTTTACTTCATTTCTTACTGTACTGCTCCACTGCCATTTCCACTTCTTCCTACGGCTGTTAGCATTCTGTGACTTTAGGAGGGATTTTCAGCCCCTTCACTTTCCTGATGCCTGGGAATTCTTATTAAGCTATGACTAACAAAGTATAAAATATGAGTCAAAAGTTAGTCCCTAATAAAGTCATTGTGACTTTAATGACTTTGGCAGTTGTTTCATACTGCGAAAACAGGAAGATCCTACACAATAAGGCGCCTGTCTCACAGCTGGGCTCCTGCGTAGTAGCCGGCCACCCACAAGAGTAACTGCTGGGGCTGTCTTCCTCTCTTTGACACCTTTTTATCCCTGTCCTTACAGTTTTATCCTACTGTCTTCATCATGAAGTTATCAATGAGAGGAAAGTGCCTGCTTTATCTAATCTTCCGTAGGCTGATCACTTAGAATTCACTCCTAAGTGATTTCCAGTTCATCCCAACAAGCCTAATTCATCATAAAAGTAGCTCTTTCATGTGCTTGATACCAAGCGTCTTGGATTGTTTCATTCTTAGAAACACAAAATCACCAAATTTAGATTTGAGAAGATGTGGAGATCATTCCAGTTCACCCCTCCTGTGTGACTGGTGTAGCTAAGACTGTATTTGGCTCCCTGTGGATCTTCGCACAAAACTCAAACTAGTCCTCCAATGAGAAATACAGAAAAATGATGAAGTAGTCCATCACTTCAGAAGAAACTGGCTTTGAAGAAAATAATCTCTGTATGTAGCTTTGAAACTAAAGAAAAATGAAAGCCATCAAACAAAATGTTTGGAATTGAATTTCAGGTTTTGCTAGTTATCCTATATTTTTAAATGACTTCTCAGTATGAAAGGAACGTATTTTTAAAACATCACAGATGATTTTATAGAGAAGGTATAGTCTAGGCAAATAATATTAAATCATTTATGTAGAAAATAATACCTTCTTACCTTTTCAAAAAAGAGCTGCAATTTCTAGCAGGGTTTGCAAACCTAATGTTGGGCATAAGCTTAATACGGCATTGGAGGAATTTGTGTTACTAAGGGTTGATTCACAAACTTTGCTTGTCTGTGTTGAAAAGGGGCTTTGGCCATTTCCTCTGGGACATTATTTCTAGGTAGGCTCTAACAGGGTTTTCTTTGAAGGCAGATTCTTACAGAAAAATAGTATCTCTGTACATGAGACACATTTATCTTTGAAATAGTGTGCTCCTGTTTGTGGAGTTCTGTACTGCATTTGATAAAGTAAATAATGTCCATTCCTTTGCAATCTTGTAACCCTTTGGGACATAGTTTCACTCAGGAGCTGTTTTACCTTCATATCTGGACTAAACACCTAATTTGATAAATAGACAGGGAGATTCCAAAAGTCTTAGACTGTAAAACTCCAAAGGATGATAAATGCTTCTCTTCCTTTGTTGGTGACTTATTCTTATTTCCACTTTGAGTTGTTTTTCTCAGTAGTATAGGAGTTTTGTTTTCTGGGAAATATTGGTTGCTGGTAAATAATATGTCCAAGCTGTAGGAGGCTGCAATAAAATTTATCATAGAATTATGAAAGATTAGGGCTGAGAAGCTGAGATCCTAAAATTGTGCGTCATTCTCGTTTTACACATGCGGGGTGGCATGACTTCACAGGACTGTTAGTGAGAGCTGAGAATGAAAGTCAAGATCCGCCTGCTACTTCATGGCTGCCTCTGGCTTCCCAGAAACAACTCTTAGATGGGAGTCAGACGCTGAAAGCCCAGCTAAGCCTCGCTCCTCGTCTGTCTCCTCAGCCTTAATGTCAAACATAATTCATATCCATTCCACTCCTTGGTGTGTCTCGTCACACAGGCCAACATAATCATACTAACTGGAATCTATGTTACTAGAATGTAAAAGATACCCCCTGTCTGGTCCTTGAAGGCCATGTCTGCTTTCCTGAGTTTGTACAGAGCACAACATAAATGGGCCCTTCATAAGTGCTTTTTGATGAGAGCAATGATTGCCTTAGTCAGTGTGGTTGGGCCCTCCCTTACAGAGGAGGAAAACCAATGGTTGTTGCTAAGCAACATTTAAAGCACTAGCTTGGTTTCTGACACTAAGTGACCTCCATTTGCGTACTTCATCATGTGTGTTTTATGGTTGCCTAAAGATGACTGTGTTTTGGTGGCATTGCCATGCCCTTAGCAAAAGGCTCATAGAAGAACTAGTTTAGGCATGGAAAGGAAGGAGGTGATAGTCATCTGTTAAAGACTTACATGAGTACACTGACCCCTTCTGTAAGTATGCAGGAAAGATGAGGAGTTTGGTTTATTTTCAGCCCTGTAGCTGAGAGTAACCTCCCTGATCCCATGTCAGGACTGATTGACAATGTATCTCCACAGTGTCCTGTTGCAACAGGAGGCTATAGAAAGAAAGAGAAAAAAAAATCTTTCCTCCTCTAGCTTTTTATGATTCAATTTTTACCTGCTTTTATCTTCTAAGCTGAGGGACCAATGTGGCTAATAAAGAACTGTCCCCATTCTCTTCAAACTGTCAACTGTTGTGGTTAACCAATGTGCTCTGATATATCTGACTAGTACTACTAGAATGAAAGCTGATTAAAAGCATGAAAAGAAAAAAAAAAAGCATGAAAGCATGAAAAGTGTTTTTGTTTGTTTTCACTGCTATATCTTCACTGCTTTGCCAGGTCATTTTAGGTATTCAATAAATATTTGTCAAATACATGATAAAATGGCATTATTGAACGACTACAAACCTGATTGACTTCAAAATATTCCTGCGTATTTCAGAGAGACCAAAGGAACCAAAATTAGATGATTTTTTTTTGAATGTTAGATTTGACTAAATCTAGTGCAGAGAAAATTATGGGAGAAATCATCTGTCTTTAAGGTCTTTACAAGATATTTTAACAGCAGTTCTAGTAAAGTTTGCTTCTCTGCCAAAATTCAGCTGATAGATCAGAGCATATAAACCTGTCTCTTCCAGCTTCTAAGTTTTCAGTGTAAGTGCCTGTCTTTTAAGGACCTGAAAATGAGAGGCCATTTTGACTGAGCAGTTGTGTCTTTAAAAATAAATAACTTAGAATTTGTGTGATTCACGTGGAATTCAAAATTGCACAGAGTTCAACAAGTAAAATACACTACTAGCTGTGATGATTGATTCAGCGATCCCTGGTTACTATTATTAACATATTGTATAATGAGAGACACACACACATACACAAACAGGGTTACCCAGAAAGGGGGTGATTGAACGTCTCTGAGGACACTGGATCGTGCAGTGAGCCAATAGGCAGCAACACTGACTTGTATTGGCTTCCCCTCAAAGGCCAGGTCTCCTGGGCATGATCAATGGCATGACCCAGGGCTTGGATGCTTGAAGTGAAGCTATTGTTGGATGTGGGATGTTCATGTGAAAGAGGAATGCCTCATAAGAAAGAGAGCCAATTGCAAGTTGGGGCTGTTGCCATGGTGCTTTGCTATTCTCTCCACCTCAACTTGCTATAAATGAACTCCTGGAAGTCCAGGGGTAGAGTAACAGAGGGGAGGGAGAAGGAGGAGAGTGGGATGGGCCTGGGTAGGGAATCCCACTGCAGTAGGGCTCTAGTCTTAGACTTTCCCCTTCCCTGCGCTCTAATGCTCACAGAAAGAGAGAGAGAGAGAGAGAGACAAAGAGAAAGAAAGAGAGAGAAAAACCTACAAGAAAGGAATGGCTTTCTTGACATGCCCCAGGGTGCTAAAATAAAGTAAAATTAATTTAACTCCTCAATATTTCTAACATGAATTAGAAGAGGTAACACTAAAAAAACCAAACAAGCATAGTCACTCATAACTCCAAATAATTCACCATTCATTCGGCAATGTCATATTTCCTAACACACTGCAGATCCCAGATAAAGGTTAAATGAGTTTAATCTATTTGTCAAAGGCAATCAAATATGCATATTAATGAGCTGATGGAGTGCAGAAAATTGCAGGCTGTGTATGAAATGCTTTTCAAATGAAATAAATTAATTCCATTCCCATTCATTTTATTGTGAAAAAAGGGCTAAATGCATTAGAACACCTTTAGTGGGCAAATGCCTTCAAAAAGCTAGTATTAAAAAAAAAAAAGCCTAATCTGAAAACAGCCACAATTCTAATCTTTTTGGGTTTGTTTTTTTTTTTTCAGTTTTTGTTTAAATGTTCAGAAAGAAAATTAATCAAATGTACCATCACTTTGAAACAATTAGAGTGGCTGAGCCTGCCTCTGCAGAGCGCTGGTCTGCAGTGGAGAGAGAGGGTTAAGGAATACCTAGTTGAAATGGGGGAGGGTACTGACTTCAGATTTACTTAAATATTCATGGGGCTTCCTCCATTTTAATCTTCTCCTTTTAAAAGATGGCTGTGTTTCCCAGTCTGGCAACTCCGCAGGAAAGAAGAATTGCTCCTTCCTTGCAGAGTTCAGCTGAGTAGGACTAATGTAGAGTGGAAACCCCTTCAGCCACCAGGACTATTCATAATTCATAAGTGCTTCAAACCAGCCAGCTGAATGCATTTGGACAGGCTCTTGCTCCTTCGTGCAATTCCTGATTTCATTACTCTCTTCTGCCAGGAAATAGGCAGGGAGCATAGGCTTCTTGCAAGAATGGTGTGCGAAGATGGGCTTTGTTTGGATTAGGAAATGCCATAGATTTTGGAGGTTTTGTCTTTTCTAAGTTTTGATTATTTTACCACTGGATCTGCAGGGCTTTCCTGATCCTTTCGGGATTGCTCTCTGAGAACTGTGAATTCTTTCAAAGAGATTTGTGGATTGTGGCAAGAAGAACATTCCAAAATGCCTGAGGCAAACTATTTGTTATCTGTATCTTGGGGTTACATCAAGGTGGGTTAATTTGATTGTATTATGTGTCTTTGATAGAGTGTGAAACATTTACATCTGTGTTTTTTTTCTGTGAAGTAGAAGACATCTGCAATGATTTAATTTGTGTGTTCCTTTAACCTGCTGGGACTTACTGTAAAATAAGGGCATATTATATTACATTGTATTTAAATATACTGTACTGCATTTTAATCCTATTCTTTTTATTCAACTATATTTTTTAAAAGATGCTTCTTATTTTTCATTCATTTTCTCTTAAACTTTTTACATATAATCTTTCACAGAATAGGTTAATTCAAATTATATTTTAGAGTTAATTTCAGACAAATGTGTTTTTTAAAGTAGTTACATTTTTAAGTGAAATTATCTTAACCTCTGTTAAAATTCTTTTTTCCTGTGTTTGCATCTTCAAAAGAAATCAGATGTTAATTGTAATGAATCTTAGGAAAATATTTTTTCCCAAGGTGACGTTGGAATAATTTCCGATTAAAGGGGGTATTATATTTTGTAGAAACAGTATCATTTATCTAATGGTATCTACTCATCCCATCTCTTGGTTCCTAGACAGTAAAGTTGGAAACATTTAAGGGGATAATTTACTTATTTTTAGGTGGTTAATGCATTTTTATTCTTCTTAAACAGTTCAAAAGAATGCTGAACCGGGAGCTGACACACCTCTCAGAGATGAGCCGATCAGGGAACCAGGTGTCTGAATACATTTCAAATACTTTCTTAGGTAAGATATTAACTGGGAAAAACCTATCTCATAACTGGGGATTTTCAGAATTAATTTCTATAACCCATCAAGGGCATCCCCACATAAATTTGGAACGGGGTTAAGTCACAGAAAAATCCATTTAAAATAATAACTAAGGGCAGTCTTCAAGGGAAAAAATAAATAAGCAGGGAGATGATATAAAAAAAAATGAATGAGCATACCCATCAAAGACAGAAAGAAGGTCATTATGGGCTTGTTGTATCTATACATCCCTCAGGCCACCCCTTGTCTACCTGTCAGCTTCTATCTCTGCCAAGACCTCTCAAGTAATGGAAAAGGTCCATTCACCCAAATCCTAGAGACAGCTCCATTGGCTCTACTGACATAGTATTCTTTAAATTCTTCCAATAACTAGGCTTTGAACAAAAGGCTTCCTCTAAGGTGTTTTATAAGGAATATGGTTGAGAAATAATTCTATAATGATCTGGTCTGTGAGAATAAGCTTTGGAAATAATTTGATTATTGCTTTGCTAAGTTATTTCTTAAAAATAAATGGATGGTGATGGGGAACACCCCATCAACACCCCATTTAATATCATTGAAAGATTTCCTCTTCTGCAATCTGATCCTTTATTTATCATTCTCTATGTTACATTGCCAGCACTTAACTCATGACACTGACTGAAAAGGTTTGCATAAATGATGCTCAGCTATTGTCTTGCATCTTGTTTAATTATTAGGGATTTCTAATCTCAGACTTAAGGGCAACTCTATTGTATAATGAACTTATTTGGACTATTTTGATTTAATAAGGCCTACAGAATCTGCAAATTTGTACTTCAGAGTGGATGGGTAGCATCTAGATTTTGATTCTGTTTACTTTCAATTGCTGCTGAATTATCCCTGGTTATAAAACCTTATTTTCCGAAGAAATGACCCATTCTTACAGCTGAACATCACACCCTCCCTTCTTTTTGGCACAGCCGCGTATTGTTAAATCAATGAGCATTTACCTTGATGCCTTCTGGTTTTATTTTTAAAAATCAATCCTATTTCTCTGACACCAAAGCAGTTCCTGCTATCAGCAGATCAATCAGCTCTCTCTTTGAGCAGCCTAGTACAAAACTCACTGCATTAACTCTGCAGCCAGTGGTCACTGGGCGTGATTAACAAGTGCCTTTCCAACTATATGTAGGTGTCTGCAGCACTCGTTTCCCCCAGCTGCAGTTGCAGCAACCTCTGTCAGAGAACAAAGGAAGAATTTTTCATACAGCCTAGCTCTCAGAGGTGGCTAGAATCTAACTGTACAGAAAACATTACACTCTGATCCTTTTCTTCTCCCTTCCTCCCCCTTTATCTCTTTGAAGATGAGGATCTTCTGCTGACATTTCAGATATACCCTGTTCTGTGTAATACCCGATCGTTTTTCATAAATGGGGAGCTGTTTTAGGGACATTTACAGGTTAATAACTATCAAAGAAGAAAATAAAATCACATTTTTGTTTTTAGAAACATTGTATTTTAAAATAACAGGGCTTTTATAATTTCTTGCTACTGGTGTTAAAGCTACATGAAGCCTCTGAGCTCTTAATCATTGAAGACCGGACTAAGCAGTCTTCTTCATTTTAGTGTCTTTCCATATCTTCTCATCAAGGAAAATGAGAACATCTTAGTGTAATTAATCTTTTTTTTTATCATCATAGACTGCCAAAAAGAAAACTGATAAGATGATAAAGATACAACAATTTGTATCTCAAGAACAGGCAAATGTCAACTCTTTCTTGAATATTCTATTTGCCATTTAGGCAGATCTCTTTAGAAAAACCAATTGTTTGCCATCCCATTATTCCAAAAATGGGATATTAAATTATCAAGAACAAGCTGTTGAGGAAGGTTATCAGAATCTCAAACTTCATAGACTTTTAGCCTTAGGAAAGTGGGGGTGTGAGTGTGTGGTGGGGTAATGTATTTGAGTGTGTGTGTGGTAAACCCCATCAAACAGACTAGACAGGTGGATTAGAATTTTAAATGCTCTTGGGAAAATATAGGGAGAAAAAAATATCATATAAACAAAAGATGCCTCAGTTGCCTCACCTAGAAACAGGAGCACTGGTACAGATCACATCCCAAATCTCTTCCAACTCTAACATATGACTCTGATATGTACCACGTTTATCAGTTCTGCTAAGCCATACCTGGCCACCTGGATTCTTTGTGATGAAACCTAGGCTTGTAATTTGACAGTCTTAAAAAACAAATGAACAAAGCTTGTTTCCAGACTACAAATGCAAGCCATGGAACTGTTAGTCCTATCTTGTGAGCATAGTGAGTGTTCCTGGAAGTCCATGAGGCCTTCTTCATAAACTGTCAGATCCGCAAGCGACCTTAATGACCTTATTATCCAATTCCCTTATTTTACGGGAGAAAACATGGAGGCCTAGAGGTTTGAAGTAACTTGACAAAGGTCACAGAGCACATATGTTCCTGAGCCAGGACTAGAACTCAGCCCTGTTGACTTCTAGACTTAAATACCCTGTCACTCCTTTTACTAGGAAAGAAGGCTGGTAGGAACTCAAAACAAATAGAAGAAAATCACATTTAAGGGCATTTACATAATATGTATATTGTTTCAGAAAGAAGTCTTTGGAAATCAGGATTATTGAACCTAAAAATAAAATGTTTGTTAACAGTTTCCAGTAATACAAAAGGCTCTTGTAAGAAAGAACATGACAGCCATCTCAGTGACCACAGCATGAGAAGACCTTAGCAATTTAAGTTAAACCTAAAGAGCGCTGTCTCAGTAAGAGCCACTGAATGTTAAAATGTGTCATCCAGGGAGGAGGGAAATCCCTTAATCGGGAGATCTGTGAACTTGTGTTCTTCTCATCTATAAAGATGATGTCCTGGTGGGCAGAAAGAAAGGTGGACCGTAGACCATTTACCAGTCCAGACACGTGCTGATACTGTCATATAATGGGCTCCGGATTACTGATACAAGGAGAAATAGAAGTATCTAGCTTCAGGGGAAATAAAGCAGGACCCAGGTGGAGGGTGCATAAATAAAACAAGATTTTTAGATGTTATATTTACAGTTTATTTAATATTTTCAGAGACCCCCTACTTACCATCTCAAAAGCTAGAGCTTAGAATTTTGCACAATGGAATGTATGATCTTGCGAGAAAAGCACCTCAAATTATGCCATTAACAGAGCTTGGATGAAACCATTTTTTAAATCTGTTTTTTGCTTGTCTTAGACTGGCCAACAGTTTCCCCATTGTATTCTGACCATTCTGTAAATCTAAATTCACTGAGTGTTTATCATGATTTGTCGAGTCTGTGTTTCAGGTTATTTCCACACTGAGCTGGCTAAGCATTTAACAGAGGAAATTCAGAATAGGGAAACCCGTCAGTTGTTCCAATGCCTGCATAGGGAAACACCCATTAATGTCAAATTGACACTCTTTGTGAATAATGGTCTTCTTCTTTATTGCAGTGTTCCAGACACAGTAGTGGTTCAGCTCAATTACTCACTATTGTGGGGAATCTTTAATTAAACAAAGGTGAAAAGCTGCTAGTCTCACTAGAAATGGTTGTATGTGCAGTGGCACAGGAAAATCTAACAGCCTGTTTAACCAGAGGTGAAGAAAGGTAGTCTGGAAAGGCAGGGGTCACTGTGGCCTTTCATTTTAGCAAAAAAGTAGTAATTATTAGGAATGAAGTGACAAGGAGAAAAGTAATTTCAAAAATAATATAATACACAGTTTTTATGCCAGAGATTTCAGGAAAGAGATTTTTAACAGGAACCTCAAGGCCTGGGTTCTATGCTATTAAATCACTGTGTCTGGAACAAAGTAATGGCAAAATAAATATCTGTTAAATAAATTGCCCTTTGAGCTCGGGCAAGTTGCTGACTTCATCTGAAAAATGAGAGTGTGGGATTGTTGGTTCCCAAACCTGGCTCTGATCATCCAAGTCACTTGGGAGTCTTTTAAAAAATACTGATTCAGTAGGGCTGGGTGCGGCTCATAAATCTGTATTTTTCAAAAGTTTCCTGGGTGCTTCTGATCTTGGACTAGGACTAGGACTTGGAAACCCCTAAACTAATTGAGATGACCACTAAAATTCCTCCTCAAGCAAAAATCATAGGCTTGTGATTCTAGGAGCTTGTGGATAGCTAGAGACAGTACTTGGATGCTAGAGATCAAGAATTCCCTTGGTCTGGTCCTGCAGACAGGTGGCAAGGTGTACATGATGCTAATACTGTCTTGCTGTGCTTGCTTTGTTTGATGGAGTGTCCACAGGGGCCTGTGAGCGGGCACAGGTCTCGGGGGAAAACATGTGACTATGCTATCATCTGCAAGAGTCTGAAAGCAAATAGTCTAGATCGCAGCATGCCATCTGGAAGCATGTCATTTTCAAATGGAGAAGTTGTCTTTCTACTAATTTTCACTGTAACAAGCAGAGATAAATGTAAGGCACTTTTGAAAGCTGCATTAACTCTTTCAGCCACAGGGTGTCATTTAGTTCAGTGAAGTAATGGTTAAGCAATTTGATATATTATTGCCTTGGTGCACTCACAGGCATCCCGGTGGCCTGAAAGAGTTAATGCATTTTTCAGAAGTACTCAGGATATATCCTTCTGCGAAGTGAAATAGAGTATTTGATTGCTGGTATTTTAATAGCATAACATAAAGGGAAGAGCTTCTACAAGCAAGTAGATACTTTTTTTCACTAATCCTAGCTCTGCAGTTACCTTATTATAATTTTTTAAAATATTTTAAAATATTAAATATAAATATTTAATAACCATAAATATGTTAATAAGTGTTATGCCGATTACACAGAAGAGGCCTTGTTATTATTTATTAGTAGAATTAATAGCTACAAGGCATGAAATAAAACTGAAATTATGGTCTTACTCTAAATCTTACATGGTAATAAATCGAGGCTTTAAAGTAATTATTTGAAAATCACGAACCACTTATTCTTCTAATATATATACTCCTTATTTAAATTGAACCTTGCTAAAGTCACACAGATTTTTAGAACTGAAAATAAAACAAACAGACCACGAAGCCTATTTTTATTAACTTGGGTTTGACTGATGAGCATTTTTTATTATACAAACATAGAAGTTACTCACTTTAATAAAAAAAAGTACATATAAATATTGATGCCCCTCCTTGAAAATGTGTAAGTGTAATTTTCCTAAATTATACTGAAAACAGAAGATGTGGGCTTGAGTCCTATCTTTGCCACTTCTTGGACAATTTCCTTCGCTCCTCTGGGCCTCAGTTTGCTTAGCAATAACATGGAGCAACAAACCGTCATATTTCCCTGCATACTTCACAGGATTGTCCTGGAGGTCCAGTGAGATAATGCTATGGGAGTCCTTTATAAGGTCCAAAGCCATTGTAGATGGTTAGAGGTGTTTGAAATATTGCAGTAGATTCTCATTGTCACAGAAGTGCTGGAAAACGTATTCCTCTGTCCATTGCAGACAAGCAGAATGATGTGGAGATCCCATCTCCCACGCAGAAAGACAGGGAGAAAAAGAAGAAGCAGCAGCTCATGACCCAGATAAGTGGAGTGAAAAAGCTGATGCATAGTTCAAGCTTAAACAACACAAGCATCTCACGCTTTGGAGTCAACACAGAAAATGAAGATCACCTGGCCAAGGTGTGTATGAGCTGGGTTTGTGTGAATGTAGCTCACTGCTTTACAACAGACAGATGCTCATATACCTTTAGAAAATAGTGAGGATTACTTTTGCTTTATCATTAAATTTTATGATAAGGAAGCTAATGTAGCCTCTTTTTCCATTGCTGGGGCACCTGATTGAAGATCCTTTTTTCAAACCATACCAAAGAACCATGTTTTTTTTGTTTTTTTTTTTTCTTTTTGGTCCTGAGTTGGGTTTGTTAATGAACAGTATCTCATGAATAGAGAATCCTTCTGAAAGGACTCTGGAAAAATTCAAGGGAATGCCAGTACGTAGGTCTAACTTTATCCCAGAGGACATTTGGGGGACTGTATGCCAAGGACCAATGGGAAAATCTGCACTGATTATCAGGACTGGAGAAGAAATAAAGAGAAAATGACAGCACTGACTCTTAAGCCCAAATTCCAGTAATGGAGGAAGACATAGAAAGAATTTATACAGCCTCTAGGAGGCTGCACGAAGTGACTGCTGAGGTCCTTTCAGCCTTGTGAGAATACGAAATGAGTTTACTGTGGGCAAGAAAGCTTCTGAAAGGCCTTACTGAATGCTGTCAGTGAGGCTTTCTGAAAGCTGTCATTAGAGTAAGGTTGATTAAACATTAGGCCAAGTCTCTGGGGAGAGTCTGGATCTCTTACTCTGGGCAGTTATTAGGAATGGAATAAATTACTCCTTAAATCAGATAATCTTGGAATAATCCCACAACACAAGCCTGAATGATGTTTTTTTCAGGTCCATCTGTGGCCCAGAAGCCTAGAATATAATTCATGACTGGCATTCATCATGACCTTTTACATTAAATTGGGTTGACTTATGCACATTCTGGCAGCTGCGTCTTTCTGACCTGGCCCTCGGTGATAATAACCAAAGGGCAGAGGAGTTTCCCTAAGACTGTTTTCTAGCAATTACTAATGGGCCAGTGGGCAGCAAGGGGAGAGGCAGGGAAATGGGGCTAGAGTGATCTCTATTGACATGAAGCTACCTTTGAAAGCAACATTGGTTGAAGACTGACACGTGGCAGCTATAGGTCAAGAACTGAATCTATAAATACCCACACATTTTCCCTTTTCTGGAAAAAAAAAACTTAACAGCTATCATGAAGAGGCCACCCAACCTCCTATGCCATTTCATTCTCAGATTTTCATGCAATTAGAGGACTTTTAAACAGGCACTCTAAATACCCAAGCAGCCAGCATCCAAAACATAAAAGAATGAGGCATGCTAACAAAACTGTCTAATTTTTGATTACAGGAGCTAGAAGACCTGAACAAATGGGGTCTTAACATCTTCAATGTGGCTGGATATTCACACAATCGGCCCCTAACATGCATCATGTATGCTATATTCCAGGTAAGTAAACAGCAGTGAATGCTGGTTTTCCAATTGGATGGCTCTTGATGATTTTTTTTTGCCCATCCCATTTCACTTTTCTGATTTAACCTTCCTCCATTTTTGGACATCCACTCACTTATGTTCTAATCAATTTTACCACATAGGAAAGAGACCTCCTAAAGACATTCAAAATCTCATCTGACACCTTTGTAACCTACATGATGACTCTAGAAGACCATTACCATTCTGACGTGGCCTATCATAACAGCCTCCACGCTGCCGACGTGGCCCAGTCAACCCACGTGCTTCTTTCTACACCAGCATTAGATGTGAGTAGCTATGATCTGTTTTGCACACCTGCCCATCCTCTTTTAAAAGTACCATATAATATGCAATGTATATACAAAAACAGTATAATCAGATGCATGCTTAAACTGGTTCTTGATTATGTGTAGCATCCATCTATTGGGTTATTTATAAAAATGGATGACATTTCTACTTGCTTTGCTTTCTAATGTCAGAGTAACCTTTGCATCTCTTACAATTGAAAATTATGCAATTATCAGGCAATTAACAGGATCATCAGGGCAGAGATTTTGCCTGTATTCAATGTATTCCTAGTAAGGAATACAATATATCTCAAAGTGTCTTGTTCAGTATCTTATATATTGTACACCCTCAATATGCATGTACTGCTCTGAACTGCCCAACACCACCCCAGGCACTGTGGAGCATATCACAGAAATAGAATATAAAATGCTGTGTATAGTTCCTATTAGGAATAAGTATCCATAGGCTTATTCTCCTAAGAATTCATCAAACTGATTCTATGAGTTAAATAAAAAGTAACTGAAAATCTAGAGCAGAGGAATTAATAAAGCTGAAGCAAGGAGGAACAATGTTCCATCTTGCCAGACAAGATCTGAGGAGTGTCTGTGACTCCTTCTCTCACAGATTAATGTGTCTGTTTATACCAGTGTAATCAACAACGTGTACAGCAGGCCAGGCTCTTGCTTGACTGATGGAAATGATGGTCAGGTAACTCCAAGCATGCTGGCCCACTCCAGGAAGGAACTGGCCATACCCTATTCAGCCCCTTCTCTGCAGATCAGTTTGGGAGGTGAAGAAAGATCAAACTAACTACATCTCTACTGCTTGGGTTCCATATTTTCTAAGAAAAGAAATCCAAGAAGACTTGGGGAAAAGAGATAGAGAGCTAAGAGTGTCTGAACCTCTTGAAGGAAAGAAACAGTATTGTTTTTATGGTCTGTATAAGTATCAGAGTGGGGCAACACTCTTTATCAAATATCCATTATTATTGATAGTACACCTACTGTGTAGTCAGAAATTGGCCATGAATGCCACAGACTTTTACAGAAGGGAGAGTTCAGTGTATCCTGGAGTAATGAGATGGGTATTTATGGAAGAGATGGAAACTGAGCTGGGATTTGAAGGACCAGAAGATTTCAGTAGTCACAGAGGATATTAGTCCTAGAATCAGCAGCAATCTATACTTAATAAATACTAGGTTTAAATCATTGTACATGGGCAGAGAAGCCTTCTTGACTTGGCATGAAAGAGTTGAGAAGTGGGACATTAGGTTTCAGTTCTTAGGAATGTTCTCAAATCTTGCCTATAGTAAACATTTATTTGGTGAATATGTATTGAATGAATGAATGTATAAAGCTTGTGACCACACTACAAATTTAGCTTTGGGAAATAATTTATTGCTTATCTTACAAATCTGGAATTTGGTCAGTTTTCTCTATGTTACTCAGCCTGAAAGCATATGAAGGTTGTTATATCTCAGAGCAGAGCCAGTCTGACTTGCTTCTTTGACTTGAATGTGCTTATATTACATAAGCACCATGCTGCGTCCCCTGATCCAAGAAACAAACATCAGGTGTTTACACACACCACAAGCATTGTGCTAATGCCTTCCCAAGCCTCAGCCTGCAGGCTTGATATAGGAATGAGGTCCGGCCATCCTCCCTTTCTCATCAGAGACTTTATAATGATGAACAGAACCTACCTTTAATTAAATTATTGTGTTGCGATGTTATATAAATCAACAGTCTCTCTCCCAACAAGAATGAAATGGGTGACTTTAAAATGAAACTGAACAAGCAGGATAGGCAAATTGGATGTGGAGTTAAATGTGCTCCTGTTGCCCCACAGGCTGTCTTCACAGACTTGGAAATCCTGGCGGCCATTTTTGCAGCTGCCATCCATGACGTTGATCATCCTGGAGTCTCCAATCAGTTTCTCATCAACACAAGTGAGTTCACCACTACAACAGTCATGCGAGATAACCGTATGATTCACTGCTTGATTTTTTTTTCCTTCTAATGTTTTCATTATGGATAATAACAAGGATAATAATGAGGTAATCCTTCCACTCCTCTCAAACCGGTCAGGCCTTTCCTGGATACTGTGTCCAATCTGGCAACACAATATGTGAGCTGCGTGGAGAACTTGAAGAGGGTCAGAGGGAAGCCGTAAAAAGAATTCAGAGTTTGGAAAATATAATATGTAAGGAAAGAATAATAGATGTGGAATTATCCAGTAAGGACAAGGAAAGGCTTAGGGATTTCATGATAATGATTTTCAGTGTTAGAGCACAGAGCATCGTAACCCACGACTGTCCCTGTCTCCTGGGAAACAGCCACAAATATTGGATCTGAGCTCCAGAACCTCCAAACAGAAATGAGATTCCATGAAAAGCACTAGAATGGGATTCCACTGTTCAGAAAGAAAGGTCATTAAAAGTTGTGCACTGTCTCTTCCAGCTGCATAGGTTCAATTATGGATGGAGAGTAGCAGAGTTAGGTGACCTCAGTGGCCGTTAGGGTGGTCCTGCCTTAGGATGCCAAGCCATGCTCACAGCTTTTGTCATGCTCAAAATCTCTGATTTACATGCTAATGAAAAGTCATTCATTCTCTCAGTTAATGCACTATCTCTAAGTGCTAAAGAAAAATCTAAGTACTTTTTTTTTCCCTGAGAATATTGATTATCCTGTTGTGGTCATGATTAACATCAAGTGTTGATGGTTTTATAGAAATGTTCTTTGAGCTCCTTGCTATAAAGGAGTCTTTTTCATCAGTCCTTGTTCTTTATCATCAGAATATATGAATGATCTAAGTTTGAGGTATACCATTTTCTTTTAACCTCTAGGCAACTAAAGCTGATTTCACACTGAGATAATGCCAATGTTTGAATCATATCCCTCTGTATTAAGTCATCATTTTGTCTTATTTACTAGATTCGGAACTTGCTTTGATGTATAATGACGAATCCGTGCTGGAAAACCATCACCTTGCCGTGGGTTTCAAACTGCTACAAGAAGAACATTGTGACATCTTTTCCAATCTCACCAAGAAGCAGCGCCAGACGCTCAGGAAGATGGTTATTGACATGGTAAGACCTCAGCCTCCCTACAGTCCTCACTTCCGTTGGCTATTCTCTCTGATAGATGGAATTTCTTAAGAGTTTTCATTTTCTTTTTATCCAAGGTGTTAGCAACCGATATGTCTAAACATATGAGCCTGTTGGCAGACCTGAAGACGATGGTAGAAACCAAGAAAGTTACAAGTTCAGGCGTTCTTCTGCTGGACAACTATACTGATCGTATTCAGGTATTTGATGACAGCCTTTGCTTTAACACAAAGCCAAACCAAGCTAAAGCAAACAACAACTAGAAAAAGAAAATAAACATAAATTCAGTTAGTTGTATATCCTAGGCTACTACTACAGATCTAGGCTTATTTTAAGAACAAGCTAAAGAAAATGGACTTTCAAGTTTATCCTCTAATTTATGAGGAAAAACATAGTCCTATTCACTGAAATGCTTAGTTCTAAAAATAAAATGCAAAATCTATTTGTAATAGGGCATACGTGACTGTTGGTCCCAAAAGCTCATGTTTGGATTTAAACTCCATTGACTTGAAATTTGTTAGGTCTGTTTTGGATATACAAATTGCCATCAGCTGGTCTCTTCTTTCCACAAGTGGAAAATATGAAGTTATCTACTTTGAATAATTCTTTGCATTCTTTCCAAACTGAGGAAAGGAAACGATAGCAACATCTGACCTCTAATGTGCCTTCCAGCTTTTAACTTCAATGATTGTCAGTCTAAAAAGACACACATTTTCCCCTTTGGGACTCTATAATGGTAAATAACCAACCCTGGCCAGCACCATTATCATACTTCTTCTTTTGGTGCATGCATCATAATTATAATGCAACTAAAATGTTCTCGGGTTTGGTACCAAGTGTACTAGTATGAGAGGGATGAGATGTTAGATGTTCTGGCAGTATTTACACCTAATTTTATGGGATTTCCAAAACTTGATGATTTCAGGTCCTTCGCAACATGGTACACTGTGCAGACCTGAGCAACCCCACCAAGTCCTTGGAATTGTATCGGCAATGGACAGACCGCATCATGGAGGAGTTTTTCCAGCAAGGAGACAAAGAGCGGGAGAGGGGAATGGAAATTAGCCCGATGTGTGATAAACACACAGCTTCGGTGGAAAAATCCCAGGTATTTAATATGAAATTTTCAAAGTTTTTCTGAGCTCTCATAATTGTAGAACTTGAGAGGGGGTTGTTCTATCTAGTTCCTTTCTTTTAACAGAATATATACATGAAATGATAAGGAAGCAACTATGCATTTAGCTTCATTATACTCATGACTCATTTGACTTTTCCACTACACTCAATTTCATGGGTGGGGACAAAGCAGTCATCAGAAACCCATCAAACTTTGGACTGTGTATCCCCAAATTGTTCAGATGGTTATCTAGGACCTTAGCAAATCCAGCTGATTGATGGAATGCTGCCGTCTCCCCCATCCCATCTCTCCAAGTTTCTCCTACCTCTGTCTTCACCCAGGAGCTCTGCTCCTCATCCTTGTTTCCCACCCCCTGCTTTTGCTTTCTCTCCATAATTTCCCATTGTCACCATCACCAGACACAGTCTCTTTTACCCTATAGTCAAAGCCCTGTCTGGCATCCCTTTCCAAGGTTGTTTCCATGCCTTGAAGAACATGCTGACATTTCCTGGCTGTGTCTATAGCTACACAATCTCTGTGTGCTGAGAACAGGGGTCAATACTCTGGAGGCAGGAGAGGGTACAGAAATGTCCCAGATGCCAATGGCTACAGAATATGTAGCACTGGAAAGTATCAGTACCCCATGAAGGCTTCAGGACTCGTTGAAATGTCATTTCTTTCAGGATAACAAATGGGCTGAGCTAGGTGGCTGCGAGTGAGAATGACTTCATAGACTGTCCCAGGTCTTTATTACAAAAACCTGCAGAGTGTTTTTTTGTGTTCCTATCCTCTTTCCCCCACTGCCTGCAAACCTCAAATTTACATATACTTGTAATATTGATGTACAGTTCCTTTGCAATTATTGTTTTGTTGCTTCTTAGAGAAACCCAACCAAATGAGTTTAAAATCAATGAAAGTGCTGAAGTCTAATATGCTATAAAAATTTAAGATAACATTAATCAGGGCCAATTCAAATACTTCAAAGCCTTAACCGGAACAACAAATAAATTAATTAAAAGAAGTAGTACCCTTTTATTAGTAGCAGTGATATTTTCCATTTATGTGATGGCCTGTGTTGTTTTCCACACATTTTCCCATACATTAGCCCATTTGAACCCTAAACAGCCTCGTGAGATGGATAAAATAGGCGTTTCCCCAACGTGTCAGGTATAGATCTGTCCTCTTGGTCCAGTTCAGCAGTTCCCTCCACCCAAAGCTCTTTACTCTCTATCCCATGGACAATTCTCCTTGTTGCCCTGACATCATCATGCACTCTGGTGTTTCCCACACATGGGCTCCTTTGAACATTGTCTGATTAGTCTGGCAATAAAGCTCTTTCTGGACTGGGAGCTCTTACGATCATGGAGCTCTCTCATCCCATGACCTAGGAAATAAACAACTAGCAGCAACCTTTCAAAAAAGTCCTAAACATTTCATAGCAGAAGCAAAACAAATGAAAAAAAGGAAATGACTGCACTGTGTTCAGCTTATTCAATTTTCTCCATAGCCTTGAGCTTGTTATTTTGGGTCCCTGGAAAACACCTTGAAAATAGTCTCTAAAATCCATGAAACACACATAAAGAAGCAAATGGGAGGAAAAAGGAGTGGGTAGAAGCAAGAGAACTATCTGAATCATCCACAGTCAAGTTCTTATAACCAATGCAGATCAGAGATGCCCTGACTTTGGTGTGAAATCTTGTTTGTTCAGGCTAGGAAAGCACCAGAAAGAAGAATGTGTATGCATAAATGTATGAATGAAAGAGTCACATACAACTGAGATTCTTACATATAGCACTATATATAGTACAACTTGAATGTATTAAATGACTGGCCGAACACCAGAACGTTAACAAAGGAAAGTTCCCAGTAACGTGGAAAGACACCTATGTAATGTCCCATGGGTGCCCTGGCCCACCTTCCCCCGCATCCCGGCCCAGCACCTTCTAGTTCCGCAGCCCATGGGAGGGGAATTCCATTCCCTCATTCAGCTAGTGCCTATTCTCTGTCTCTACCTGCCCCCACCCCCAGTGTTTCCTGTTTGTCTGACAATGTGGAGGTCAGCATAAGGCCACCTAGCTAGCTCATGCAGGATGCATAGCCCCTGGGTAAACCATAACAGAGCCATAAGCCTCGTATTTATTCACAGGAACACCAGCAAAAGGAACTGCTTAATTGTTTTTATTTTCCCTTCTTTCTCCTGATGGAAATGACTATGTGCCCTATGGATCCAAAACAATGGCAGACATGTCCGCAGAGGGGATGCGTGTTTGTTTCAGGGCTTGAAGTATTTTCCAGTGTTTTATCAAATGCCTCTATGGGCCAAAAGCATCCCACCAAACTTAAGAAATTCCAGAGTAGTCACAGGCCAGCTGCCCATCATTTTGAAGCAGTGGCATATTTTAAAGTTATCAGGGAAAAAATATTGAGTCAGAACACATTAGACCTGGGGCTTCCTTCTTCAGAGAATGACTCACAGAATCCAAGTAGTGACAAAGTCATTCCCAGCCGGGATCACATCCAGACTTCTTATCTGGCACACGTAAAAGGAAAAACAGTCTGTTGTAGTGAGATGAACGCAGCTTTGGAGTTACTTACTAGGAGGTGACCTGTGACAAGATATTTAATCTCAATGAGTCTTAGTTTCCTCCTTTGTAAATAGTTGATGGCAATTCTGCTTTGCAGGATTCAGAGAGACAGCACGGCTACTGCACCCAGGGCAGGGCCAACCCTATAATGAGTGCTCAAATTATGGAATCCATTGTTATTGATCTCTCTGGGGTGGTTATTGCTCTTTCTTTGCATGGAAACCAGGACAGCTTGTTTGGTTTTCAAAGGCCCATCACAGTAACAGATGTGCAATCTGATTTCTCTCCAGGTGGGTTTCATTGACTACATCGTCCATCCACTGTGGGAGACCTGGGCAGATCTGGTACAGCCCGATGCTCAGGACATTTTGGATACTTTGGAAGATAACAGGAACTGGTATCAGAGCATGATACCCCAGAGTCCCTCCCCACCGCTGGACGAGCAGAACAGGGACTGCCAGGGTCTGATGGAGAAGTTTCAATTTGAACTGACCCTCGAAGAGGAGGATTCAGAAGGACCTGAGAAGGAGGGAGAGGGCCACGGCTATTTCAGCAGCACAAAGACACTTTGCGTGATCGATCCAGAGAACCGGGATTCCCTGGGAGAGACTGACATAGACATTGCAACAGAAGACAAGTCCCCGGTCGACACATAATCGCCCTCTCTGTGTGAAGACGAACATTCCACCCTTGATGAGCATGCCAGCTGTGTGGTAGCGCCAGCCCACCATGGGGGCCGAGGCCTGCACAGGACAAAGGCCACCTGGCCTTTCCAGTTACTTGAGTTTGGAGCCAGAATGCAGGACCGTGAAGCAAATAGCAGCTCAGGAAATCCCACGGTTGACTTGCCTTGCCTGCAAGTGTGGCGGAGGGCTGAAGCTTCATGTGTTACTAGAGGCCGGTTCTGATCACGACTAAATGGCTTGAAAATGGAAGACACAAAACTGAGAGATCATTCTGCACTAAGTTTTGGGAACCTGTCCCTCCAAGTGACTGAACTGACTAATAACTTCATTTATGAATCTGCTCACCTGTCCCTTGTCTGCCAACCTGTGTGCCTTTTTTGTAAAACATTTTCACGTCTTTAAAAATGCTTGTTGAATACCTAGAGTTTAGTATCAACTTCTACACAGATAAGCGTTCAAAGTTGACATAACTTTTCTGACTCTTTCTGGAAAAAAAGAAAAGGAAAGAAAACCGTCTTCCTTCTTTCTTGGGCAATATCTTTCACTTTACTACGGTTACTTTGGCAAACAGAAAGGATACACTTCTAACCACATTCTCCTTCCTTCCCCTCTTGTCCAATCTAACTCCCCAGTTCTTACAACTTATCTCTGTTTGCCTGCTTCAAACAATATTTTCTCTCTTCTGGAGTTTCACTCTTTTGCTGTAAACAGAATAAAGTTGAACAAACTCGGGAGTAGGAAGGGGTAGTTGTTTTGTTCACCATAAGAGTCTGCGTAGAAATCAACTTAATAAGGCCGTGTGCCCTGCCGTGTCCTGAACCCCTCTGCCACTAGAGTCGCATGGTCCCACCCTGTTCTCCCTCCTCTATCCACCCGACTACATGTGCTGTTTTCAACTTAATGCTGCCGTCTTTCTCTTGCACTGCCTTCTGCGTTAACACCTCCATTCCTGTTTATAACCATGTATTTATTACTCAATGTATATAATGTAATGTTTTGTAAGTTATTAATTTATATATCTAACATTGCCTGCCAACGGTGGTGTTACATTTGTGTAGAAAACTCTGCCTAAGAGTTGCAACTTTTCCTTGTAACGTTTTGTATTGTGTATTACGTAACCCTAACATGGCTTGAGAGAGACATACGGCCCCCTTGGCAGTGAGGATGGGGCTGGGCTTCTGTTCAGAGGGTCTGCTCCTTCCTTGTCTGAGTTGCTGATACTGTACAACCCCTCTAAGAACCGGTTTTGGAAACAGGACTCTCACATTAGATACTAAATGGTTTATACTGAGCTTTTACTTTTGTATAGTTTGATAGGGGCAGGGAGCAGGGGGGATGTAGTTTTCACCCATGTTCTATCCAAATCTGAGTATGCATGAGTTGGGTTATAACTGGGTTCTACTATAATTGCGACTTCGGTTGAAAAAGCAACACTACATTTGCTCACAGGTAATTCTTCTGAGTGTTCCCAAACTACTGACTTAGAAGAGCTAGCCTCCTGCCTGCCATTAAGCAGGAATGTCATGTTCCAATTCATTACAAAAGAAAACAATAAAACAATGTGAATTTTTATAATAAAATGTGAACTGATGTAGTAAATTATGCGAATGTGAAGCTTCTTCTGATAACACTTGTGAGGCCTCTTACTGGTGTCAGTTTTCAGTTTGTAAAAAAATGTTTCATGCTTTCAGTTCAGCATTGTGACTCAATAGTTAAAGAAAAAAATGGCACAAATGTGCGTGCCCAATGGGTTTGTATGTCTATGAACACTGCATTGTTTCAGGTGGACATTTCATCATTTTTCAGAAGTTTCTCACAATGTATGTTATAGTATTATTATTATTATATATTGTGTTCAAATGCATTCTTAAGAGACTTTTATATGAGGTGAATAAACAAGAGCATGATTAGATTAGACTGTAGGCCCAATTATTTCTTGGTTAGTTCTGACGTATTAAAAGCAGCAGATCTTTCTTTCTCTTCTCTCCCACCACTCCCCACAGAGAAAGCCAACCACTTTATCCGGCCAGCATCACAGCTGAAGTTTCAAAATCTGTGTCCAGAAAGTCCCTTCGCTTGGAACGGTTCACTTTTTTCTTAGCAACCGTTCACCCGGCTCGGTGGTGCAGGAAGGGGGTTGGTGAAGGCAAACAAACAAAACCACTTTGTTCACCTCAGACCGTTTCCTTCTACCTCTTTAAAAATTTGAAGAGTTTAATCTACTAGATAAATAAAGGGAATCCCCAACTTGGCTGGGTCCTCTAGAAAAATGAATCATAGATTATAGAACATTAGCGTAATGTTGTCAGGTCGGCCCGTTGATTCATCTGACACGCGAAGAATCTGAGGTCCAAAGAGTCATCTTAAACCGCAATCCACAGAGCACGGGTAGGCACTCGTGGTTTTCTCAGTGATCCGTGGAGTCTCTTGATGATCATATGGTTATGATTTGCTTTCTGGAAAGAGCTGTTTAAATACCGTAGGACAACTACTTAAACGCTTTGTCAAAATCTTAAAGTCAGCATTTAAAAATATTTAATCTTGAGGGGTGTGTGTGGTGGTGGGAGTGGGGAAAGCTGCAAACAAGAATCAGTGGTGGACCATGATAATTTAACCACAGGGAAGTGGTCTATGAACCCTGTATGAGGATCTGCTCCAAAAGAACTCCATTCAATAAGCTGAAAGTACTGTATTTCTTTATAAAGACAAGTGAAGATGAGCCAACTTTACAGAATCAGCTTGCCTGCTCGTGGCAGAGCTAGTGTTTCCAGCACTTTCCACCATCTTTGATTTCTGATTGCACCTCACCATCTCTGAGCTTTTACAAATTGAGTGACAAAAGAAAATCGGTTGCAATACTCACAGGTATGACTTTTATGATGCCTAGAGCTCTAAACATGGGCAGGTCTGTTTTCCACTAAGAAGTGGTCCTTGCTGCAAATAAAAGTTATGATGGAAAGAATAATTTTGTTAAATGCTTATAGGCTGGGCACAGTGGCTCACGTCTGTAATCCTAGCACTCTGGGAGGCCGAGGCAGGCGGATTGCTCGAGGTCAGGAGTTCAAAACCAGCCTGAGCAAGAGCAAGACCCCATCTCTACTATAAATAGAAAGAAATTAATTGGCCAACTAATATATATAGAAAAAATCAGCCAGGCATAGTGGTGCATGCCTGTAGTCTCAGCTACACGGGAGGCTGAGGCATCAGGATTGCTTGAGCGCAGGAGTTTGAGGTTGCTGTGAGCTAGGCTGACACCACAGCACTCACTCTAGCCTGGGCAACAAAGTGAGACTCTGTCTCAAAAAAAAAAAAATGCTTATATTCAGGCCCATCCTCTTCTCAGATTTCAGATTGAATTGGTCATGAGTGGAACCCCTGGCATCAGCTTTGTAAAATTTTCCCCAGGTAATTGCTATGTGCAAATGGAGTAGAGGATCACTGCTCCAGAACAGAGAGTGATGCTTGTAGCTGAGGCATTCTTCACCCCAACTGGCTTCAGACATTCACTGTGCACCCACCACGGCCACCATGCCATGCCCAGTATAGCTATTTTCAATGGTGATTTTTGTTACATCCTAAGTTTATCTTTCTCACTGACTTCTAACCTAACCTCCAGGTAAGATGGGTCTGCACAGTTTCACTACTTTCCTACATGGACATCTCAAGAAGAACCAGGCCAGAAGTCAGGGGTCCAAGGCAACTGTAACATTTATGAGGGCAGAGACCAACCATGCCTAGCACTTTCTCCTGTTTCCACAATGCCTGCCCTTGTACCTGATATGAAGTTGATGTTCAAGCATTTGTTGAATAAATTTGGATGTTGTTGACAACAAAACTTCAGTTCACAGGAAGACAAGAAGAATGTGCATTCTAGGCAATGTCATTCTCAGTTTCTCTCACTCAGATTCAATGATCTTTCTTCAGATGTGTCTCCCCACTCAACACTGAACCCCTCCACGATAGCACAATGTTTTTTGCTTGGTCTCTTTTTAAATCTTTGCACTTTTTGTCACCAAGCACTATGCTGGTCCTAAGCAAAAAGAGTGGGACTTTGTTGAGCTAATGACCCAAGAAACCAGGTCAAAGTCCCTTTTGTTGAAATTACTTGTAAAAATATCCATACACTTGATTTTCTTGGGGCAAGAGTAGAGTACTCTAAGGAAAGCATGGTTGGACAAACCTGTGTCCCAGGCCTTTTCCTGAACCTATCTAGCTGTGGGAATTTGGGAAAATCACTTACATTTTATGAACCTGAATTTTCCAAAAACATGTTTGATTGAAAATATCCAGTGACAGGCAACTCAGAAATATTCTTTCAAAATAATGTAACTTGTTAGGTTTCTGAGATGAAATCAAATTTTACTCTTCGAGAGACTCTTCTCTGATTTGTGATTTCCTCTGCAGTCAAATTATGCATATAATTCCACCTCTAATTTCCTATTCTAATAAGAAATAAGAGCCAGACTTTCAGAGTTCTTGACTATGTGGCCTTGGGAAAAATGATATGACCTATCTATGCCTCAATTTCCTCATCTGTAAAATAGAAGCAATAGTAACAGTACCTATGTATAAGATTATGGTGAGGATTAAATGAATTGAAGTTGTAAAATATTAAAAATAATGTCTGGCATTTAACAATTTATGCATTTAACAAATCTTAACTACACATAGCTAGAGGTAGCATATTTTCTATACTTTAGCTCCTTCAACCATTATTCATATAACTTATGTTCACCATTCTGGTCAGATTATTCTGGGCTTGCTCAAATAGACAGTGCTTCTCTTAGGATGAGTGTTCCAGAACCAAGTGTCAGTCATGGTAGGGCACAGTGTGACTCTTGCCTTTCTTTGTTCTGGACACTGCTTCACAGCCCACGATTGTATCCATTTGGGGGATGTCAGTGACTTGCCTGGATGATTCATAAGGTGCTTACAGGCAAAAAAAAAAAACCCTTCACACCTTTTCGCATGAACAACTGCTAGACCAAATCTTCTCCATTTTGTACTTGTACAATTAAGTTTCTGAACTTTTGTGGAGAATTTGTACTTTTATCTGAAAAACCACTAGAATATAGGAAAGAGGGTTTTCAATTTGTGCGTCAGACTGATCTATTTGTAAATCCCAGCTCTAGCACCACTTTTATGACCTTGGAGAACGTATTCAACTTGTTTGATCTTTAGTTCCTTTTCTGTAAAACTAAGGAATATTACCCATATCAAAAATTATTTAGAAAGATTAAAGAGTCTGACACATTCCGGACATATAACAAATGAGAGTTATTAGTAATATTATTAATAATACCATGAGGTGATGATTAAATGAGATAATATGTGCGTTAAATAATATGCAGATATTAATATGTGCAATAATAATATGTGCATATTATTAGTTTTAATCTATTAATTCTGGCCTAAGAAATCATTATGAATTCTGATTCTGAGAATTTGTTAACTGTGCCCCCCACCAATATTTGTAATCTACATTTTTGATAATAATGCATATTTTTATTTACACTTTAGTAAAAATGCTAACCGAGATAGGACAAGGAGTGGATGTGTGTTAAGCTGCCAGCAGTCTTCCAGATCAGCATTGATCCATTAGTCAGTGTTCCATGGGTAATGGCCCTGAGTCAATTATAAATTCACCCATGTACACCATCACATAGGTCAATCTGGCCAAAAACGTATCAGGAGAAATGCGATCAAAGTCCTTCCTGAAATTCGGGCACACCATAGCCAAAGCATTTCCTCCCTTGGTACAATCTATTAACCCTCACTAACTGAGAAAAGAGTGTATGATAGCATGACTTGTCCTTAGGGAACTAATGCTAGTTACTTCCCTCTCAAGTAGCCTAAAAACCATATGATAACATGAACTTTTCATACATTGATTTCATGGCTGACAATCTTAGTGCTGGACTCTACCTTTCTTCATGAAGAGTGGAATAATATTTGTCTATCACACACCGGCAGATTTCTGCTCTATTTTGTGTTCTCTCTGATTTTTCAAAGATCACCAATTATGCACCAAAAATACATTGGCAAGATCTTTCAATATTCTGGGAAGCCATGTGCCTGGAAACACAAAACTACTTAAAGAAAAGAGATGTTCTCTTAACACTTCTATGCTTTACTTGACAGGTCTAACAGAAGAGCATAGTGCTTGTGTACTCTTAAAAAACAGCTTATATCCTTTTAACTGAGGAAAACTGTCCTCTTCCTCTAAATACACAGTTTCAGAAAGGATGCCCATGGAGCAGTGAAGGAGGATAGGGGAATCTATTTACTAATTTAAATGAATTCTTCAGCACTTACCATTGATTAATTCGGTAAACATGTATTGAGTCCCTAATATTTTTCAGGCACTGTTATAAGATGTCCCTGCTCCTTATCTTTCATAGTATATAGGAAAATAGATGTGCATTATAAAAAGTGCTAAAGTATGACCACTGTCTGAGGGATGGGCATATGCTTGAAGCTCTGACTCAGGTGGGGCAAAGGCAATACATGTAACCTAAACATTTGTACCCCCATAATATGCTGAGATTAAAAAAAAACGAAAACAAAAAAAAATTTGAAATAAAAAAGTGCTAAAGTAGAGGTACACATAAAGAACACAAATGTGGGAGCATCTGACTCTTATGGGGGATAATCATGGAGCATTTCTGATAGGAGAACAAGGTTGAGTCTTCGAAGGTGAGTGAGAAGCAGTCAATAGACCAGATGGGTTGGGAGAGGAAGGCCTGTGTATATTCTAGAAGGAAGGAAGAGCATGTGAAAAGAGTAGAGGATATGAAAGAGTATTTCTGAGGCTTATTCATGCATTCACTTATTTCAAAAATATTTACTGAGTGCATACTATGGACCAAGTACTCTCCCAGGCATTGGGAATACACAGATATACAAACAGAGAAA